GAATTTTGCTCACGATCAGGTCAATAAATAATTAAGTATTCTTAAATTAAAATTACTTCGCAATTTGTAGGCTCTCAGTACATTACAAATTAGGTAGGTAAGGTAAATTGCTTGTGTACATGATTTTATTAACTATCATGTTAGGCCCCATGTCTTTCCAGGTAATCATTTCGTAATTACAGTTCAATGTATTTAAGAACAAGATAATAAGGATTACCTATACAAAACATAAACATGATTGACTTTTCTGATGAAAGCAGAAGTGTACCGGTTCAAGTTAAGCTAGCCATTGCGCATGCTTCTGTTCAGGTAGAAACCCCCAATTTGATCGAGACCATTTGAATGAAATGCATTTTACTTTATTATGTATTATGTTTGTTAGGCAACGCGGTCGACGGATGTCGCCAAGCATGAACATTAGTTGCATTGATGTATACAGAACTACAGAATAGAGACAGTGCGACCGCATCTTACCGGCCGCCGCTGTTGTCACTGCGGTGTTTCGCGGGCGGGCAGATTTATTTGGACGTACCCCCATCGGGGGGGCGCGGGGTCGGGCGTACCACCCACCGCGCCACCTCCACACATTTGACTGGATCAATAAGTAAGCAAAGGATGCCCGAGCAGAAAAACCATACACCCGACCACCCCAAGGGGGCACACGTAACCGACACCCCCCCACTAGCGGGGGGACGACTCCACAGATTGCCATTTTCTCTTTGCCTACGCTTTAATTAGTTGCGTAGTGACGCGTGTAGATCCATAATCCCATGTTATTAAATTGCCAAACAGGTCCGGTCCACTCTATCAAACGAGGCAGACCACTAGAATCAAGTAGGTCTGTACATTATACACATTAGTGTGCTCCCATAAACTAGTAGTAATTACTTACATATGACCGAACACGGTCAAAACGTTTATAAAGGAATAAAGAAAGATACAGAGATATTTTTAATATTATGTAGTAGTATCCATTTCGGCTCTACGATATTTCACTCGCAATGACTTTGTCACGAAGATTAGATAAAACCACAGATAATTCATGAGTTCTTGTACACCACATTACACATGAAATACACACTTAACAAAGCTCCTTCTTTGCATGCATGCTTATGCTCCTAACTTTGCTCATACATATTCATATACAAGACTTCGAAAGCTGAACTTTTCTATGCAACCTTTGTTGAAGTGTCAGTTAGGGAGTAAGAGACCCACGAACAATTTTTGACCACGGTACCTACACGCCCTTATTAAATATGTATGACAAACTACTTGCATCAATATATTACAAGTAGACCTTTTCAGTTGACTCCCGAAACTAAACCCAATTTCCTGATGAAAGCAGAAACTATATGTGAAGTTATTTTACATACTTTATTTATGTATTTCGGCAAAAGTAAAATAAATTAAGCAAGTGACAAAGTGTATATACATAATAAGCCTATGAAAACAGATTGTCCAATGTTTTCCGACGTGTCCTGCCTTTTCTTTGTTTAAAACATCAGATACTCGGTACAATCAATGTTTTGTTCGATGCCAAAAAGGGAAACCACTTGAAGTACAGATGGTTCCCTCAATGTTGTTTCTTCTGGTCGCAGTTCTTAATTGTTGAGAAAAACAGAAATGTAACAGTCCAGTGAGGCTAGAACGAAACGCTTTATTAAAATTTACCTAAAAACGATACTGTTACTCTGATGAACATAACTATCATAACTGTTTTGTATTCATGCGACTCGCATGTTGTCTGTCGTCATTCCGCATTCCATTTACTTCTAGGAATGTTATGACAAAATGCACAAGTACCATAATATCGTAGAGTACACTATTATGCTGCACGTCGAACTTAAGACTAGGACCATTCACTTTGTTCCTGGCCCTAAGATTGAATTACAAATCAAGTTATTGCAGTAACCTCTCCAGTCTCTGACTTGGAAAAAACGAGACTTACATTTGTCATTTATATTTCACAACTGATTGTTTTGTCGTTTTCAGGATATTGATAAGGTATATCATTGAGCCACAAAATGTATTTGATGAACTGGTCTTTCTTGATTGAAGACGATCTACCTCATACGCGATACCTAAATTATAAGACAGTAAGCTTTGTCTTAATTGAAACAATCCCCTAAAAGCCTCGTAATGGGATCTCTTTAAAAATTATTGCTTTCTAATTTCAACCAATCATGGTGCAAATTACTTGCCAGTAAAAAGTGGTTTGGTGTAAAGTTGTGATTTTTACGGGCTTCTCGCATCGGGCGTCTCAAGATCGAGTCGAGTGCGCCCTGGCTCTTTCCTCACGATCGCAATCGAAATAATTATCATAAAGTAAATCCCCCGCAATTCGGCGGCCGCCCCGGGGCCGGGGCGTCGCGGTAAATGGCGGGCCCTCGCCGTCGCGACGCTCTAGTGATGTGTATCTGTGTCAGCAACACTCCGTCATATCGATGAAAAAAGAGTATGTCAATTGATCTCCAGGTATAAATTGCGTAGTCAAGGTTATGCGATTTTATATTTTTACATAAAATAGTATTAACTTTATAATGATCCTAACCAAATTCTGTACATCACTTCTTGATGGTTAAAGTCTTCTATAATTTAAGCAGAAATCCTCTATAAAACGGGCTTAAAGGTTATTAAGGTTATTGTCAGACGTTTGGTTGGTGTATAATAGTAACATTTTTATTAGCATCATCGATGTTCCTGTAAACTAGAAGAGCGACGCACTACAATCCCATAGCTCTTGGTGGAGAGCGAAACAATCGCGTTTCCAGTTTTTACCCCACACCGCTCTCATCTCGTATTGGCGACGGAATTAAATTCGCTTGTTTTACCGTTTTCCCCTCCTTGGTCTCTTTTATTCATTTATCTTATTAATGCCAATAATGATTTTACAGCCAATCGCAATCTGGGTTATTGACATATTCTTAAATTTTATATTGTTGCAATTTGGTTATAAATTTTAGACCGATTGCTACCGAGAACTCTAGTCAAAAAGGCACATCTGTCGAGTTAAAGCACACCCCATTTACTTCTAAAATCGTTTAGTTTACCAAACTTTGCTTTTATTATTATTCGTGTGTGATTAGTAAAGTGTCTGCTTGGTAATAATAAGTAGCTAATACAATATACACCCCACAACAACCCCACCCCTATCCGTTGGCCTCGTCCCTCGACGACCGACGTCCATCTTAACGCAAACTCGCAACCTAATTTGTTAAATTCTGATTAAGTAATGTATCAATAATTATTGGAACTAAGTATGGATATAGGTATGTAACATGTTTGATATTGGAGAAATCTTGGCGCGTGACGCGACACAAAACCGGGTGACTTTGGGCCGCAGGGGTCGCGCTTTTGTCTGCCTGTGGGGACGGTTGTCCCTTGTGTGTTTACCTTCGACAACGCCCCGTTTCACTTTACAATGCTACAGAAAAACAAAATAACTGTTACCTCTGCTTTCGATTAAGTATAATAACAAATAAATGGAAATAATCGCAGTTTTTATATTTAAGTCAGCTATCGGGGTTGTTAGGCTTTCGATTAATCTTTAATGAAATATGAGTTGTACATGTCGCTTAACATACGTTAAATTGGTTGGAATTTTAAAGGTCAGTAGCAATTTAATTTCAAAAGTCTGGGTGTTTTCGAGAAAGGAACTTAACAAAAGAAAATAAAAACATTTATATTTATTCGAAAGACAGGTGCGTAAAGATATTCTTTCAGTAACTCCAAGGACTTCAAGATGGGTAAATGGATGATATTTATTGTCGAATAACAATAAAGATGTCTTGTTTTGTGGCTACGCTTATTTATTTAATAAGAATAAAACGCAATGGCCGACATGTTGTGTGATACGCGTAGGTACAACGCGTGTCGTAATGGCGGTCGGTACATCGGCACATAAAAATCATAAGTTGACGTGGACATGTTTCGCAACGCACCTGCCTAGTGTCGGCCGACCGGCGACCGGCGCGACTGTTGAGAACTTGCGATCGTCAGGCGGTAATAGCAACTCCACACTCCATAGTCAACGTCAGATATGCTCAGATTCCTTTCCAGTCAACACATGAATGAAGAAGTCCTAATAAACTTTACGACCCATAAACCATTCATAAAACATCTTTCACGATAAACGATGGATTTGCACTAGTACTAAATCGCCGGTGTTATGGACATTATTAGTATTGTCTGCAGTAGGGTCCCCTCACTGTGATCCAAGTGCATCGGTAATAGGTACGCGCAAGGCAACCATGTTTCCGCTGTTACGCAAATCACACTAGCTGGCCACTCGACCGCCGACCGCCGACCGCTCTCCACACTATGGGACGCGGTGATTCATCAGTATACAACTTGATGTTAATAAATACGAGATGATGTCTTGCAAAATCGTAATGTTCATTAAAATTGCACTCTCTGTACACTACTCGTAGTTATGACTTATGTTACGAAAATTCATCTTGAGGACTGATGATCATTTTCAGATTAGACTTAAAATTGATTTAGCCCAGGCTTTTCGTTGAAGTACTTATTAATTACTAGGCTATTAAAATATAAATCATCATAATCCAAACAAAGCGAAGCCATTCAATTTTTAATTAAGTAGTCTCTAATGACACTCAACCTTGGAGCTATGCAAATTTTTACTAAATTACATGTAACCTTCGAGATAATTGAAATACTAAAAAGAAAACCTTTTATATTCATTTTGAACTTAAGTATGAAATAGAAAACAATACTTACCCAATATTGCCCGCGTTTCACTTAAGGGTGAAACTTATCATGTTATTGTTTTCTTTTACGTGTCCTATTCGTGTATACGTGTACATATTTGTTACGTACATGTTTTCTTCTTCCTTATTTGCTGTATCAAACACAAATAAAAGGTCAAGAGATGACCTATCAATATGTTATGAAACTGTATTGTAACCTGACTTTATTCCCGTATCCCTAAATACCAGACAATATCAGACACTTCTAACATATGAACTTGAATGTTTCAGCGGCGATGGAGGAGGAATCTAGCGAGTTGCCAGGCACGGACGGCCTGGCGCCCAAACAGCGACACCAGGCGAAACACCGGGAGCTGTTCTTATCTCGGCACGTGGAGACACTGCCGGCAACACACATACGCGGCAAGTGCACCGTCACGTTGCTCAACGAGACGGAGTCGCTGCTCAGCTATCTCAATAAGGATGTGAGTATGTACCGGCCACGGACGACAACACCAACCGAATCATAGAAGGTCCACTCCACCTTGCCCAATGAAGGAAGACTAACTAAATACTTTTATAGGAAGACTAATTTCTCTTGTTATCATTTGCAACAGCTTTCAAGATAATCAGAAATGTGTAAAAACAAATACGTCAGGATTAGATATTTCTGTAAAATGAAACTAATTTGAAATGTCAGGAGTTGACCTTCTATCTTTTTTATGAAATGTGTAAACATTATTCCTAGTATGTTGTAGTTGTAGTATGAGAATTAATATTGTTTCTAAAACAACTTTTTGGGCATACCTAGTAACTATCTGAGTAGTAAATCTCCATGTGGGAAGTATGTTACCAAAGATAAAATTAACATTAAAAATTGCACCCAATAATCCAATTCTAAAATAAACTAACTTTAGATTAATCGAATTTTGACTACAATAGCCAATCATTCTACTTATGCGGTCAAGTACCACATTTTATTCATCTTAAGACAACAATATTAGTAAAGTTATCGACTATCCAATAGATTATAATACTAATGTGTTATATAACAATGTCTATTCTCCATAAATATTATATATATTAAAATGTGCCACCTATTTTATAACACTCAATGTCATGAGGTATAATGGCGTAATCTGTTACTGAGAATAGTGTGTCCTTTATCCTGTTAGTTAGTTAATTAATTAATTAATTTCCTTTTTCAAATATTGATTATTATTGAACAAACAGTAGTGTATATTTATAAAATATAAATTTGAACATTTTAATATTTATATAATTTTAATATTATTAACTGTATCCTATGTCTTGGCGATCTTTTAATCATTGTACAAATAACAAGCTTGCGATTTTAAACTTCTATAACTAATAATAAAACTGGTAGTAATATGGAACCACTACATACTTGTATTAGAAATTAATTATCAAGAAATGAAAAAGAAAAAACGTTCCTTTGCTCCCAAGCGTCAACCATATCTTTTAGGCATCATTACAAAAATAGTTTACTATCAAAGTCGCCGATCAGTGGAGAGATTCAATAGAGAACAATTTCTGTTCAGCCCACTCATTCCAAAGTTCACCAATAAATACGATTGTATACAAAGTGCTAGTCAAACAGAAACAGTAGGTACTAAACATAATTAGAAATCTCCATATTATAGTGAACTCAATGCTAGTCATTCGTCCGCGACATTATACAACTTACGTGGGAAGATTAACAACTGATACAACTATACTATAAATTACTTTAATTTCATTCCCTAATCAACGTCGCAACGTGGGACTTTCTATTGTTATGTTATCAATTTTCTTTTCTAATTACCATACATATTATGGTGATATGTTACATACACAACTATTTTTATTATAATACAGACATGAGCGATTCAAGCAATTCAAACCTGTTCATTTTCTTATTTGATTATTAACTCTATTATGCTGTATATCTATCGTACATATAGGTATATGTATTTTATTGAGATCTATTTATTCAATACATTATTTATCGGTTATATTTTGTGTATGTAGTTTCAAGTACTTATTGTCTTAAATTTTTTAATGTTTGTTTTTTTTTTTTTGTTTGTGCCACACGGTGTCTTAGTTTTTATTGTTTTCCTGCCGAAAGACTGCAGGAAGAGATTCCTATGGGAATATGTAGTACCTATGTACCTCCAATTTATTTAGATATGTATGTACTAGCGGACCCATCAGACGTTGTCCTGCATATCCACTTGAATGTATAAACAAAAATTAGTTCAGCTGCTTAGTATGAATAACTTAAACACTACTGCAGCGCCATCTGCCGGGCTGATTTGTAAATCTAAACCATTCCCAGATCCCCTTGAACACACACAAAAAATTTCATCAAAATCGGTCCAGTCGTTTGAGAGAAGTTCAGTGACATACACACTCACAGAAGAATTATATATATAAAGATTCTCCTGTGGACTGTCTGTGTGTTGTGCATAAATAAATAAATAAAATAATGAAGTTGAAAATTGCTATAGGCAATTATGGTACTTGGATGTATAATCTATAAATGTTTCTGTATGACTATCTTGACTAATGAGTACTCATCCCGTTCGTTTCAAGGTTAGGTCACACAACCGCTAACAATCTCAATTAGGAAATGTCAACACGCCCTAATCTGATGTCATTTCCTATAGTTAACAGAGTTAGTAACTGTATTAACAAATATTGTAACATACATGTAAATCCTCCTTACAGTATTTGCTCTATACAAAGCCAAATCATGTCAATTTCAATATATTAAAAACGAACATACTAATTATAATAATAATTAATATGCAAATTTTTGACACTTAAGCAAGTTATATCTTAATATATACTTGAATTTGACATTAAAATGAAATTCATTAGTTTTTTCGAGTAGATGGAATTAATGTGATTGTATTGTTAGACAAAGTGTTGTGTACACCTAAAATTTAATACATTTTTCTCTCTTTTGTTTCAGGACGCATTTTTTTATTGTTTAGTATTTGATCCTTCACAAAAGACTTTATTAGCAGATAAGGGAGAAATCAGAGTTGGAAGTAGATATCAGACTGAAGTAACTAATTTATTAAAAGATGGTATGTATGATTTTATGCATTAACTTCTTTTGTTGTGCTGTTGTTGTTTGATAATAGAAATTGTTTAAATTAGAATGTGTCCTATACAATTTACCAATTCTAGATAATCCACTGATCTAACTGACTTTGTTCTATTCCCTTCAAATACTTATAAGATAATTATAAATTACGTAAATAAGAATCAGCTAGACAAGTCCAACTTGATTACCTATACATTTTACAATAAAGTTGTATTTCCAAAGATTTATTGCTTATGTAGAAGCATTAAAGAATAAACATTTTCATTCAGATTTCCATGTTATTTGTAAATTGTAGGCGAGGAGGACGTCCGTAACAGTGAGGAGTTGGAGACGCTGGTTTGGACGCCGGAGCACGGGCTGACGGACCGACAGATCGACCAGTTCCTGGTGGTATCGCGCTCCGTCGGCACATTCGCGCGCGCCCTCGACTGCTCCTCCTCCGTCAAGCAACCCTCGCTGCACATGTCCGCCGCCGCAGCCAGCCGAGACATCACACTCGTTAGTATTATTTATTTTATACCTACACTCAGTAATCCAGCATAATATAGGATAGTTAGTGCTAACCCCTGCTATAGGAAACTTTCGAATTGAATCATTATTTGCGTTGTGCTTCGTTATGTCCAATTACCCCTCCCCAATCCTTGAATCCCCAACGATCCTTAAATTCCTAACCCCAAAAGGCCGGTAACGCGCTTTTTTGTTTTATAGTATAAGCCCGCCACAACATCCCGAGACCGATGCAACTCCTCCGGTAACGCACTTGTAACGCCTCTGGTGTTTCAGGTGTCCATAGGCGGCGCCTATAGCTTACCGGTGATCCGTGTACTCGTTTACCAGCATATCAAAAAAAAAAGAAAAAAATAGGGCAAAGTCACGATACGCATAAATCCACGATGTTGTACAACGAATATGTAATGCATTAATTTGTATCCACGCAACGCCAGTTTTCCCTATAAACTGTGGTTTAAACTGAAACTTTTGGCTAGCTATTAAAAGAAAACTTCAGTACTGAGCTGTTAGAGTGCCAGCGTAGTTTTTTTAAGGCATAGTGAGCCGAGGGGTCACCCTGCTATGGTAAGCAATTAGCACCGCTTATGCACCCACAACACCAGAGGAGTAACAATTTGCTTTGTGGATTAGGGATTTGGGGACTCGGGGTTAAGGACGGGGAGAGCATTGGGATTTCGGTAACCTCACTCATACGTAACGTGATGGTTTATTGTTTGACCCAAAACGGGATATTTATTTAGATCCTATTATAGGACCTGTAAACACAAACTTTGTGCCCACAACAAAAAAGTTACCATTACTAACTGCACAAAAATGTAGTTAAAGTTCTTTCGAATGTATTTTGTCAAAAATGACCGAGTTATGTATGACGCTGTATCACTCTCGTACACCACTCAAATCGTCCGAACGGTCGTCGCATAGGTTCAAAGATAAATTCTATTTGCGTAAAACATAATATACAAAGGTGTTATAGTTACAATAGATCATCATTTTTTACTAAATAAATGTTAAAAAATACTATTATATACAACTGAAACTGAAACTGATACAATTTTACGTCCCAGTGTTCGGGGACAACAGGACTCGTAATTATTGCAATGTGGAGCAATGAGGGAGACGGGTTGTTGTAATGAATAACTTTAATGAAGTGTCCTAATAGTTATTAGGAAGTAAGTTACTTAACTTACACTACTTACTTATAGGGCGGGGTGTCACACACTACACCCCCCCCCCCCCCTGTTTTTTTGGAAAAATAATATTTATTTATATATTTTTTATCATTAAAACTACATATATAATTATTTCCTTAAATATTAGCACTGTTGACAATATTTAAACATTTTACGATACAAGTTAACATTTTAGAATCCATTTGATAAATTATTCTTATAACTGAAATAATCATAATACAACTATTATATCTCTTACTCACTGTTCTAAATCTAGGTAGACATAATACATTTTATTTTGCTTAAATATTAGGGCGAGGTGTCACACACACTACATGATAATAAAAACAGACAGTCCCATTCAAAATGGGACGTCTGGTCACGTTACTTATACAATTTATTAACGATGTATCTTTCTCAACAGTTCCACGCGATGGATACCCTGCACAAATCAGGCTACAGCATAGAGTCTGCACTGTCCTCGCTAGTGCCCGCATCGGGCCCAGTACTCTGTCGCGACGAGATGGAAGAGTGGTCTGCCTCCGAGGCCAATCTCTTTGAAGAGGCGCTTGACAAGTACGGCAAGGACTTCGCTGATATACGGCAGGACTTTGTGAGTACTAATGTTATTCTATACACTATGAATCATACTAAAATAGTTTTAAACTTTTAAAAGATATGTTGTATGTATGAGATAATTTGAAGGTTAAAAAAGGTATACGTATAAGTACTCTTATATCGGAATCCGATCAGCCTTTTTATCGAAGTGTCATAAGGAAAATAATTCACAATGACAAGCAATAAAAAGTAATCAATAACTTCTCATACATTGGCAATTCTAATAGATGTAAAAAACAATTTCTTATTCAGTGCCGATTTTTCCAACGCGAGAGTCCTTAGTACGAGTTACTTTTTCGTTTAAATTAATCGAAACGAGACGGCGTTCTGTGCTCTGATTGGTTGGTTCATTAGAGCCGGCCAATCACAGCGCCGAACGCGTACTCGTTACGATTACTTTAAACGTAAATGAAACTCGTACTAAGGCCTCTGATAAATTTAATTGAGGAATAACTTTGGACATTTGACAATAGACGACTACCCACCCTATGCAAGGTAACTATGCCAAGGTATGAAAATTAAAAATTTAATTAGTCCGTCAGTTAGATAATGAAAAGAGATACCATCATATGCCTATACTATAATATATCGTCGAAAGTATTTAGATTTATGAGAAAAGAAATAATTAATCTACCCGATTAAAAACTGTGTCAATTTTATTCTACAGTCAAAAATGAAGTGATTGAAAAACCGGCCCTTAATATTTTATTTAAAACTACTTCCCTCGTTAATCTTCAAATTGTTTACATGATCTTGTTAAAATGCATCTAATCGGAAAACAGGACTTTAATCAGTGTGATTAAGTCATGATTACTTGCAATTAATTAGTAAATATGTATTTGAATAATATTTTTTACATCCAGTTGCCATGGAAGACGCTAAAGAACCTTGTAGAGTACTACTACATGTGGAAGACGACAGACCGCTACGTGCAACAGAAACGCGTCAAGGCGGTGGAGGCCGAGTCCAAGTTGAAACAAGTGTACATTCCCAACTAGTGAGTGTTTGTACCACACGATGCATACTTATATCGATGTGATCTTCTGTTGCCCTTTATCTAACGTTTTTATTTTGCTTTACATAACTTTATATTGCTGATATTTTACATAAATGACGGCTTTTTATTTTGATATAAATATAGCGTACTTTTTTGTTTTGGGATACTAAATAAGTTGATGAAATTGCAGCAACAAGCCGAACCCGGCCTTGATAACCAGCAACAGTAGCAGCGGCAAGGCCCCCGCCGTCCTCAACGGAGGCACCAACGGCACCGCCACCGTCACCGCCGCGCAACTCTGCGCCTCCTGCCAAGGTAATTAAAATAACTGATATTACCTAATGTAACCAATACAATCTACTGACGATCACATCAAGCTACCCCGACTGATAAAATATTTAACAAACAATTTTGGATATATCATCGTAACTCTGTAAACTACAAATAAAGTAGTTAAATTTGCAAATATGACTAGTGCTATAACATGCAGTGTTTGGTAACATTGCGAGCGAGACTTTAAATCAGAAAAATAATAAGAAAGAGTGATTTTGTTTCAGTGACAAATTCTAACCAGTGGTACACATGGGGACCGCAGCATTTACAATACAGACTTTGCGGCACATGCTGGCAATACTGGAAAAAGTATGGAGGTCTCAAGGTAAAGGTCTGAACGTATTCTTATTTTTTCACAAATTTGTTTGTTTTCAAACTTGGAACATGTTGTTAATATTGTTGTATCTGTGACAGACCGCTGGAGTCTTCGGCGAGACCGAAGTAGAAGCCGCGAAAGGCCCTCGCGGCGAGGGCGAAGACACCGCACTGTCTGTGTCTCATCGTCCACATCGTTGTACTGTTCTTAATTGCGCTAAGGTATGTTCCTAAATTGCACATCGACATACATGGGGACTTATAGAAAAATGACTAACACTCGTGGCGTTGTGTGCAGGAGTTCAAATTGCGCGCGCATCTGGCGCGGCACGTGGCGACCGCGCACGGCAGTGGCGAGGGCGCGCGACCTGTGATGAAGACGCGCGCCGCCTTCTACCTGCGCGCTTCGCCCTTCACGCGCCTGGCACGACGCCTTACGCGCGCTCTACGCCGCCCACGCCATTACGCGCGCTCGCCTTTCTCGCCCATCAACCTGACGCAGGTGAAGCACGAGTGTAGCGCTGCCATGGCGGGGCTGGGGGCCGCCGAGCTCCGCGCGGCCGGCGCGGCGGGCGCGGGC